ACTTAAAATATATTCCATGTTATGGTAGAGTTAATAAAAGTAATTATAGAGATTTCATTTTCATCTCTGTTGTTTTAAAAATAAAAGAGCCTTAAAATTATACTTGTCTAGTTTGCTGCTTCACCTTTGTTGATATGATTATGGAGGATATTTAGATCCACTAGGACTTCTTTCCAGGGTAGAAATGCTTGTTTTTATGGTGCATTGAAGACTTTTGCATCAGGATTAGATTACATAGGACATATTAGAGTAAGTTTCCACTCAGTAGGAGACTTATTAATGCAGTTTTTGCTTTGAAAGACATTAGAGTTATGAAAAGAAAGGTCTTGAGGTCATAGTGGTCATTTCCGATAGTAAAATCAGTTTTAAATATACTTGCATCAAGCTGGCAGTCTCGTGGATATCCAACTTCTGTTAAGCTTCACTAGTTACTCACGACTTAATATTTTATTGTGTAGCAAATAGACAGAATACCATTTTTCCTTTAAAAAGTATATAAGACGCACATGATAGCAAAATGATTCTCCTGTATCCTTGATGGTTGAAAACACAGTCACTGCCTGTTTTATTACTCTAAAATTTTCCATATTTTTTTCTAGATGTTACTTTCTGATGTTCTTCTGCCTTCTTTCTCATTTAGTCTTAAGGCATAGACAGCTTCTGTATCTAAAAGCTATGACTGAACGTTTTTATTAATATTCTAAAAATAAAACCTATTTATGAAGTATGTGAAAAATTTATATGATAATCTCAGCACTTTAATTTTTACTGTGACTTGTCTCCAGTTGCTACCAATTTTCTTTTAGAAATTGAAACAAAATAAAACTACAAATAATATAAAAATGCTTTTTTATTTTAAGACTCACTCAATTTTTACCTTGGATTTCAACAGTAAATTCCAGCTACTGGACAACTTATTTAATTTTATATGTCTATTATACTTGATTTGAAAAGCAAAAGAACATAAATTCAAGTTGTCAAGTGAGAAGATTGAAATTCTATATAGGAGGATTTTTGTATTGTTTCAAATTGGGTTATACATAGTCTGCTATTTTTTTTCTTTTTCCTATTATTTTGAAGCATGTAATTTAATTTTTTGTTTTTGTCCCATACAGTATTTTATTTTACTGTGATAAACTCCAACTGAATATTTCACACTGTGTCCTATTTATATTGACTTTGAGAAAACGTTGATTTATTTATACATTGCAAAACAAGTCATATGTAAGCAAAGTGCCTTCAGTGGATCAGGTATTATGCTAGGAGCAGTGGATACAAATATGTAAAAAGATGGGCCCCAGCCCTATAGGAAAAAAATAATAGGTCAGCAAGTGGGAGAGAAGAGAGAGACACTAAATCAACCATAGCACAAGTGATACAGTTCAAAAAAGAACATGCAAAGAGCTGTGGCAAGCCTGACGTGTGGTCCCCTGAATTACATGATTTTGTGCATTATGAAGGTGTGCCTATAACTCATCCTCCTTTCTTTATAATTTTGAGCAAACCTCTTTTTCTTTTTTTTTTCTTCTTTTTTTATTGCATTTTAGGTTTTGGGGTACATATGAAGAACATGCAAGACTGTTGCATAGGTACACGAATGGCAGTGTGATTTGCTGCCTTCCTCCCCTTCACCTATATCTGGCATTTCTCCCCATGCTATCTCTCCCCACCTTCCCACCCCCCCGTCCCTCCCCCATTTCCCCCCAACAGACCCCAGTGTGTAGTGCTCCCCTCCCTGTGTCCTTGTGTTCTCATTGTTCAACATCCGCCTATGAGTGAGAACATGCGGTGTTTGATTTTCTGCTCTTGTGTCAGTTTGCTGAGAATGATGGTTTCCAGGTTCATCCATGTCCCTACAAAGGACACAAACTCATCATTTTTGATTCCTGCATGATATTCCATGGTGTATATGTGCCACATTTTCCCTGTCCAGTCTATCATCGATGGACATTTGGGTTGGTTCCAGGTCTTTGCTATTGTAAACTGTGCTGCAATGAACATTCGTGTGCATGTGTCCTTATAGTAGAACGATTTGTAATCCTTTGGATATATACCCAGTAATGGGATTGCTGAGTCAAATGGAATTTCTATTTCTAGGTCCTTAAGGAATCGCCACACATATGAAAAAATGCTCATCATCACTGGTCATTAGAGAAATGCAAATCAAAACTACATTGAGATACCATCTCATGCCAGTTAGAATGGCGATCATTAAAAAATCTGGAGACAACAGATGCTGGAGAGATGTGTAGAAATAGGAACACTTTTACACTGTTGGTGGGAGTGTAAATTAGTTCAACCATTGTGGAAAACCTCTTTTTCTCTGATCTTTAGATTTAAAAATTCTTGGAATTATCATTAGGCTTTGTTGTATAATTATACATCAAGCTGTATTTGTTAGGGTCCTCCAGAGAAGTAGAATGAACAGGGTGTATGTATGTATGTATGTATATATGTATGTGTGTATATACATATGAACACACATATGTATACATATACAGTATATGCAAATATGTTCATACACACATAAATGTATACATGTGTACATTTATACATATGTACTATGTACGTACATGCATATATATACATGCATGTATATACACATATATATCTGTGTATGCTTGTGTATATGTGCATATATCTGCCTCTGTGTGTCTATTTTTAGAGAATTATGTTATACACACACACACACACACACACAGACACACACACACATTCAATTGGAGACATACACATATATCTCCAATTCAATAAATAATTGGCTTACATGAATCTGAAGACAAAATCTCTAAGCACTGTCGTCTGAAGGCCTGAGAACTAGGAGATCCAATGGTGTAAGTTTCGGTCTAAGTCTGAAGGCAAGAGAAGACTAATGTCCCAGCTTGAAGACTGTTCAGGCAGAGAAAATGAATTCTCTCTTGCTCAGCATTTTGTTCTATTCAGGACTTTAAGGCAGCAGTCCCCAAACATTTTGGAACCAGGGACTGGTTTCATGGAAAACCAAGTTTCCATGAACTGGGGGCTGGGGGGCAGGGATGGTTTCAGGATCAAACTGTTTCATCTCAGATCATCAGGCATTAGTTAGATTCTCATCAGGAGAATGCAACTTAGCTTCATTGCATATGCAGTTCACAATAGGGTTTGTGCTCCCATGAGAATCTAATGCCATTGCCCATCTGACAGGAGGAGGAGCTCAGGTTGTAATGCTCACTCACCAGCTGCTCACCTCCTGCTGTGTTGCCTGGTTCCTAACAGGCCATGGACAGGTACTGGTCCATGGACTGGGAGTTGGAAACTCTTGCTTTAAGGGATTAGATGAAGCAGACATGCTAGGGAGGCCCGTATGCTTCACTTATTCAAATGTTAATCTCATCCAGAAGCAGACACGCCCAGAATAATGCCTAACCAAACATCTGGGCATCCCACAGCCCAGTCAAGTTGACACATAAAAGTAATTATCACACTAGCCTCTTCTCAAAGAGGGAAACTATGGTAAATTATGTTTGAACATAAACAGGTGAATACCAGTCTTTTGGTCATCTTCTCTTCACTAGTCTTCCCAAACTAAGCATTATTCAAGATTATCCTTACTTATTCATATTCTTTTCCCGTATTTTAATCCTCTTTCTGCTTGACCCCATCATTACTTTTCTTCTATTTTTTTTAGCAAATATAATGTATAACAGCCCTGATCATAATTCTCTAAAAAGCATAAAATTTATGCTCTGCTAAAATTGCATTTATATTACCTAGTTTTGCTTTTATATACTAATGGAGATAGTCATCACAATCATACAATATCCAGGACTGAGAAATCACACTCCAGAAGAGCAATTAAAGTGATAGCTTTCAGATTATATCAATAATTGATAAGGGGACCATTAAAAATGCATGGATGTGTGCATGTATATGCTCTCACACATAGACACATGTGCACACCACCATGACCTGTTTCTAAAAGAGATATAGTCCACATATGTAAACTCACTTTTAATCCTCTAACACCACTTCACTTTATTGCCCTGCAATTACTTTATTTGATTCCTCAAGTTCTACTGTAGCCTTGATATAGAGAAAACAGAGAGAAGGAGGAGTCCTCGGCCTGGCATGCAAGATCCCATGGCTACTCCTGGTGCTAGAAAAGTTCCACTTTGCTCCTATCGTCCCAAATTGCTTTATTAAAAAAAAAGAAAACAGATCCCATTATGACCTAAACTTATTGGTAATTGAGATCGAACATACCAACATTCCAAATAGGATGCGTTATTGGTTTCCTTGTTTTAAAAGTCAGTGTTACATGATTGCCAGTGGATAGTATGTTCTATTAGAAGGTCACATCAGTAGAATAATTAGTCTGTTTTGCAAACCGTTGTGACCTTATTTAAAAAAAATATGTATCAGGGTAGTTTTTAGTTTTTAGGTTTACAGAACAGTGCAGAGAGTTCCAGTATATTTTCTCTTCCCTGTCCCCTTCTCCTCCTGTTTCCCCTACTACAAACAGCTTGCATTAGTGTGGTATATGCGTCATAACTGATGAACCAGTATAGATACATGGTTGATAGCCAAAGTCTAAAGTTTACATTAGGCTACCTTCTGTTACATAAGTCTATGGGTTTTGGGAAATGTGCATGGTCATGCATCCACCATTCCAGTATCACACATATTAGCTGTCTGCATCACACCCAGTATCCCCTACATCCCATTTTTTATCCTCTGCATCCTTTCTCTAAACTGCTGACAACCACTGATCTTTTTACTATCTCTATGTTTTGCCTTTCCCAGAGTGCCATATGGTTGCAATAATATAGTTAGATCTTTGATTTCCTCCATCAGAGTTTTTATAGTTTTCCTTACATAGATTTTTATACATATTTTGTTCAATCTATACCTATTTCATTTGTTTGTTAATGCTAATGTAAATGGTATGGTGTTTTAGTTTCAAATTCTAATTGTTCATTCCTTATAAAGGGGAAAGTAGTTGACTTTTGTATATTTTTTTAACACATCTTATTTTATTCAGCTAGCAGTCTGATCACACGTGGTCCAACAACACTCAAATAATATATCAAATATAACCAGATGTTAAAGATTGGTCTTCAAACATCATAGCCAATGATGCCATGCTTGCCTATGATCTCTCCGACATAAAACCACATCAACACCTCAGTGGCCACCAAACCATTCAGCACAGCTTCCTTAACTGTGAGTTGTTTGAAGCTACCAGTCTGAGCACTATTGACTATTTCTTTCAGGCTCTGAATAACTCTAGGGATCTCAGCAGGGATGGGAGGAATCAGCTCAACCTTGGCGTAGTACCAAAATGTGGTCAACTGAGGCTTCGAATAAGTCACAGCAGCGTTCACCAGCGCCGGGGTCTTCTCCACAAGGTTACAGATAAATTTACAACACTGATATAATCACTTATTGTAGGAGTATTTTTTCTGATTCTTTGGGATTTTCTATGTAAATAGTTACATCATCTGCAAGCAACGTATGTTAATTTCAATCTTTTGTTACATTTGCTGATAACTGGGAAGCCATCCCCATTCACTTAACTGCTATAGCCACCTACAATGCTAGCTACCATTAATTTAGTTTTAGTGATCTATTAACTTTTTCAGCCATCATCATATTTGGTTGTGAATTAAGGAAAAAAGATTTCAGAAAAGGAGTGATAATTTGAATATGATCACAGTACAGGAGCAATATTTTGTGTGTGTGTGTGTGTGTGTGTGTGTGTGTGTTCACAATGGAGTTCGCACTCCTATGAGAATCTAATGCACTGTTCATCTGACAGGAGGAGTTCATGTGGTAATGCTCACTCACCGGCTGCTCATCTCCTGCTCTGTGTGTGTGTGTGTGTGTGCGTGATCAATTCTGGTTTCCTCGAAAATATGTTTGGCACAGAGATAGGGACAGAGGAGGAGGAGATTATGCCAAGAAAGTGATATAAAAGAAGAGTACAAGAAGTAAAGATGAAATACATTATATATTATATATAGTATATGTAATGTCCATAATATACATTGTACATATAATATATATTGTATATATTATATATATTGATACATATTATATATTACATATATTGTATATATAATGTATGTGTATATATATACGTATTTGCTATCTTTCATATATAATATATATGCAATATATATGTATGCAATAACATATATGTATATTATTTACTGCATTTGTTGATAAGAAACTCTTGCATATGACTTTACAACATTCTGGGTTCTCACTCTTTCTTCATGAAATTTGTTTTATATTGAATTCTTCAAACATTTTATTGATTTAAATAAAGTAAAAAGCAAATACTGCCACCACATCATGCTTAAGATTATGGAAATAACACATATGTGTTCAAGTAAATTAAATAATTATTTACCAAATTTTTATATCAACAGAAATTTTTACCTTCTACATAGATCAACATCCTTAGATTATAAAACACTCTTTTTCTTAGTAAAATTGAATACTGAGATCTTACTAAACATAAATTAAAATTACCTGCTTTTGGCCAGGCGCGGTGGCTCACGCCTACAATCCCAGCACTTTGGGAGGCCGAGGCAGGTGGATCAAGAGGTCAAGAGATCAAGACCATCCTGGCCAACATGGTGAAACCCCGTCTCTACTAAAAATACAAAAATTAGCTAGGCATGGTGGTGCGCACCTGTGGTCCCAGATACTCAGGAGGCTGAGGAAGGAGAATTGCTTGAACCCAGGAGGCAGAGGTTGCAGTGAGCCGAGATCGTGCCGCTGCACTCCGGCCTTGGTAACAAGAGCGAAACTCCATCTCAAAAAAAAAAAAAAAAATTACATGCTTTTACTTCTTATTTTCATACGCTATAATATCCTATTAATAAAGCCATTTCTGATTCCACTCAGGACAGAAGTAAAAGGGATGTATATAGCTGTGGAAAATAGTTTTCTGTGCATTTGCTAGCTTTGCTCATCTGCTGAAATACGCACAACAGGTATTTCTCAATTTCTGCCGCCCAGTTTTTTCTTGTAATAAGAGTTAGTTTGCTTTTAAGTTATAACTTGTACTGGTAATTGAGACTTGATTATGAAGAATATTAATGGAGAAAACTGACTGTGCAAGTAAGGGATGTTTTTTTTTGTTTAATATGTTCTTCTTTAGTAAGTTAACAAGAATTTAGAAGAGTTATGTCATTAGGCTATTCCAGAAAGTTAGATAAGAGCAAAAAACAAAATCTGAATGCATATAGAAAGTTGTAGAAGGTTAGCAAATAATTTGTTTTGATTTACAACAGTGAATCTGAAAGATGTGATAAAATATATTAAAATTTTGCCAAAGTTGACCAAATTTTGATAGATTTATTCATAAGGAGATGAAAAAGTCTTGTGGAACTTATACTGCCAAATATCATTATGTTAAAACTTGGGTTTCTCTCTACTTAGATGGTCAATTCTTAGACACCTTAATAAGATGTATGAAAGATTTTTTTTGTTTTGTTTTGGTTTTTAACCTAACAGACTTGGTAGGAGAGATTCTATATTTCACTAGAATAATAATTTCTTTCTTTACAGGCCTATTGGACATTAATCAATTTTGTGTCTAAGCCAGAAATCTTATCCTCCCATAAAGTGCCTTTGCTTCTATAATGCTTTTGGAAGTGGTCATAACAACTTACTGGCTCCCCTTTAATTAATGAGTTTGAGAAAACATCTTTGACATGTGCTTATTTTGTATTTGCCTGAGAATCATGATTTTGCATTTTTGAAAAGTATACTTTAACATTTTATTACTAATAAAGAATTAATATATTGATTGAGAAGGAATTAAGCTCCTGATTTTCTACATGAGTGATGGGTCACAGCCTGAGCCTAGGTTTGGGCTGTGTCCTATCATAGGCAGACGGCTGGTGAGACAGACAGTCCAGCAGCTGGAGCAGAAGATGCCACAGCTTGGGTTGCGTAAGTGTGAGCACGTGGGGAAAGATGTGATGGGGTGGCAGCTTTGGCTGAGACACCCCCACGGCAGATGGAGTCAATGACAAAAAAGTTACTCATCAAGTGAAAACTAAGCAGACTTGTGTGTGAGGACCTATCACACAGTCCTGAGACTCCCAGAACAGCTCAAGTGAATCTTATGGAAACTGGAATCTTCCAAATTGCTGGTGAGGGTGGGCCAAAGAAATGTTACTTCATAGCATTGTTGTTACCCTTATTTACTCCTAGATTGATGTCGACTGAAAAAGGACCCAAGCTAATGACAAGATTTTTGTAATCAATTCCTTGAGAGGAATGTCTAGGCTTTAGGCAAGACTTCCTGTGACCTAGTTTCTCATCTGTGCAAAATGGACCTGACTTCCATGACAGTCACAGGATTGTTACATTGATCACACAAGTACATGTGTGTTCCATGTCCAATGACAGCCCATATTTCCATCTCACCCCCTAGGAGGTTGGAACTATGCTGAGTGTTTTTTATACAAAACGCATTTAATACACACAATTGAGGGTTATGAGCCCTAGGAGGATGAAGTATTATTGTAGCCATGTTATAGATGAGGGTACTTGCCCAAAGTCACTCAGTTTTGTCCTGGTGAAGCTAGGTTTGAAACCCAGGAAATCTGTCCACAGTCCCTCTGCAGCTACCTGTTTCAGCATGCTGAATTTAGCAGAGAAAGCTCTTCAACACCTTGTAAAACCCTGTGTGAATGTAGAAAGTATTATTTTTGCTGTTATCCCTGTCCTTCAGGAATTCTCCATCTTATGTAGTGGGAAGATGGAGAATATTGCAACCAAACAGGTGCCATTACAAAGAAAGCCAAACTTAACGTGGTTCCCCTTACCCAAATCTTCTGGTCAAAAAGGTTTTAACTTTTATTTTCTGCCATTGATATGATGACACTAGGCCTTATCATTTTTTTCCAACAGAAAATTGCATGAAATTGAATATGCTTTTTCAAAGACAGAGGCCCCATCCCTAGGAGAGCATCAACCTACTCCCGCACTCTTGTAGAGAAGCAGCCTTTGAAAGAAGTGCTCGCATGCAATTTAGGCTTGAGCTGAGAAGAGGAGGCAACAATGTGAAGTATTTCAGAATAAATAATAGCCCTGCATTGATGACTACACGTGTGCAGTTCTCCTTATATCATCATGCACTCAAAGTGCGTATCTCTTCTGAAAATTAAAACGTGGCATGCATGCACTTTTGCAAATGGACCCCCAGATGGAAATGTTGGCACTTCAGGATGGGCTTCACACTTCGTTGCAGATCTGTTGTTTTGAGGCTCCAGCAGTGGTATTTGGCCAGCCCTTTATCTGGCATACACTCCAGTCCAGTGCAGCTGGAAGAGGTCCAGAAATGTGGAATGCTTCAGTCTACTACCACGTACGCTGCCAGCAGCTGGCTGCAGACATGGTGTAGATGAACGGAGAGACGACCATGATCTTGCTACCATGTGCTTTGCTTCAAGGATCCTGTTGTATGGGAGGGATTTTATGTTATCTTTTCTTTAGCCATTCTCTGCATTCTTACTTTTTAAATGCATACATTAAAAATAACCTTGTCCCCTTTAGTTCAAGAGATACTCAAACTGTCATCTGCATCCTCCTGAAGGTGGGGACTCCTTGGACTTCAGCTGTAGTCTGAATGTTGCCCCCTTTCCTGGCTCCCACACACAATATTCAGGACCACTGGGCATCTTACACAGGGAGCTGTGAAGCAGCTTGAAACAGAATCAGGTCCCTTGGGATATGCGTTTTTCCATGGTCTTGGGACGCAGTTCTTACAATTAGGCTTTTGCCTTAGCAATGGCTGAATCCATCTTTTGTCCATCTATCAATTCAGGTCCTTTAGGAGTGGAGCTCCCCTTTGTTCATGAGCCTTGTCAATGTCCCCAGCCCATCCCCACAGGACTCTATCCAGCTTCTCTAACATCACTGCCTGACTGTTCAGACTCTCGAGCTTTGCCTACCCCTAGGTTCTCTGTCCCTCACTGTAAGAAGGACTGTCCTGGTGTGTTACACCCCCATACACCCCTTTACACTGGGATAGGTCTTATTGGCTTCCGTCTCCTTCTGGTTCCAGTTTGATTTACATTCAGCTTTGGCAGTGGGAGCAGTCCCAGGGTGGGGATCCAGTAATTCCATTTTCCTTAACTGCACCACACCTAATGCTATATATTCCCTCATATGATTCAACCTAACATATTCAATTGATTTTTGAAGTTCTTATAACACATTCATAATTTTATTACAAAATTAATCATAAATTACTATTGAAAGATCTAATCCCTGCTTCATACCACTGGGAAAAAACAAGCTACCATAATTGCACATGAGATATCTTTACTCTTTCATTCCATCATCTGTGCTGTGGGTGAGGATTTTTGATCATTTTTCATGCTCTCTCTGGAGCTCTTGCTCCCCTAACAATGGCACTCCATGATGGAGCAGACACTGGGGCAGGTGCAGCTCGCATCTCAGATTCTGCCCTTCTCTTCCATGTGTTAGATGTTACTCTTTCTATGTTTCATGGAAATAGGGAATATCTTATTCTAAATATTTGACCTCTTAGCACTGCTACAATACAACTGAAAATTTGACACCTACACCCCATACTACCATTTTGTGGAGGAAGACATGCTGGACCAGAGAACCTTAATGGCAAGCATATCAAATAACAGCAATATATTTTTATTTTCAAAAAATATTAGTAATACATAAAAAATAAAATAAAAATTAACTATAATTATAATTTCACATTCACAGATGATTATTGCTCCATAGTTTGATATATGTTGATTCAAGTTTTTTTCTACAAGTTTACATGTTATATTTCTACATAAATGGCATAATTTTATGCATAACTTTTTTGAAAACTATGCTTTCCTTTAACAATATAGCCTAGACATTTTTTATGTAGAAATCCACATCATTACATTGTATAAATACACAGCATTTAAAACAATCAACTCATTTTCATAGACGTCTATCCTGTATGGAGTCTTCACTTTTATAAACAGTGAGTGCACCACTGTATTGGCACTGCTCCTTTGTCACTGGTTAGTAAACTACATTTCTGTGGGTCTGTTTCTTGACTCTGTGCCCTGTTCCACTGGTACACGTAGGCATTCTTTTGCAAGTATCGTGGTGTTGCCTTGATTACCATTGTTTCATAAGTCTTAATGTCAAGTAGCATTAGTGTGCTGAATTTATTATTTTTCAGTATCCTGTTGGCTATTTTTTCTTTTACATTTTCATACAACTTTAAATTCATTTTATCAATATCCAGAAAACAGCTTGCTGGACTCTTAAATGGTATTGCCTTGAATCCACAGATCCTGTGGGACAGAATTAACCTGTTGAATATACTGAGTCTTCAAATTCATGAGCATAGAATATGTCTCCATTTAATTAGATCCTCTTTAATTTCTTTTATCAGGCTTTTATATTTTACTGTATCTAGACCCTGTGCATATTTTAATAGGTTTGCACTTAAGAATTTTATGTTTTGAGCAGTTGTAACTGGTTTTGTGCTTTAATTTCAAATTGCAATTGTTCATTGTTGGTATATAGGAAAACAGTTGACTTTTGCATGTTAACTTTGCATTATGCAGTCTTGATATGGTTGCTTATTAGTTCCAGGAGGAGACTTATTTTGTCAATTGTTTGTGATTTTCTACTTAAGTACTCCTAGTTTTCTGAGTTTTTATCATTAAATGGTGTTGGATTTTGTCAAATGTTTTTTCTGCATCAATTATTTTCTTGCTATAATAGATTATATTAATTGATTTTTAAATGTCTATCCAGACTGGCATACTTGGAATAAATCTCACTTGGTTGTGGTATGTACATTTTATTTTATTTTGTTTTTTGAGACAGAGTCTCACTCTGTTGTGCAGGCTGGAGTGCAGTGGCGCTATCTCAGCTCACTGCAACCTCCGCCTCCTGGTTTCAAGCAATTCTCCTGTCTCAGCCTCCCAAGTAGCTGGAATTATAAGTGCACTCCACCATACCATACATTTTAAAAATGCATTGTTGAATTTGATCTGTTAAAATTTTGTTGAGAATTTTTAATCATCAATGTTCGTGAGAAAGTTATGGTAAAGATACCTAAAGTTGTTATTAAATTTGGGTGAAAAGGGGAAAATAAAATAAAAGTACACCCATGTATTGCTTAACAACAGGGCTGTGTTCTAAAAAATGTGGCAGTAGGCAATTTCATCATTGTGCCAACATCATGGGGTATGTTTTTACAAACCTAAATGGCAGAACTTACTACACACAGGTTAAACAATGTAGCCTATTGTCCAAGGCAAATCTGTCCAGCATGTGACTACGCTGAATACTGTAAGTAACTGGAACACAATGGTAAATATTTGTGTATCTAGACAAAGAAAGTAAAAATATGGTCTTACATTCTTGTGGGATCCCTTTCGTGTATGTTGTCTGTCATTGACTAAAACGTCTTTATGTAATGCATGACTGTATTAAAAGAGAAGGACGTTTAAACAGTCTTGGGAAATAGATAGGTAAGTAAGAGATTAACAGATTCACTAAATGCTGTTTTATTATATTTTCAACACTTTCTCTTTTCTTTTTCTTTTTAAAGTTCCACACATCCGTCTATCTAGGTAACTAGCTAAAATCAATATACCGTATTCCCGTTCCAATCTCTATAAATGGTTACAAACCTTAATGCTCTGAATCACCCATCTCCTGGCATGTGGCCTAGCCTCAGGACTCAGCTCATTCCCCTAAAGCCTGCTCTTGTTTAAAGGAGTCTTGTATCTGATTGTGTCTCACATGAGATGGCAAAGTGTTCTTCAGCTCATTATCACTGACACGTTTCTTTGTGTCCTTGCCTGCTGCCTGCAAAGCTGCTTAAAGGAGCCTACTGCTTCTTTGGAGGATACCAAAACCCCCAATTTTTGAGTTTTGTCTACTTATGTTCCCCGGCCTCCATTTGGATTTGCAAGATCATATTGGGGTCTATGAAGAAACATAAAAATGACACTATCTCAAACTCTGTCCTAGTTCTTCACCTGGATGCCAACACAGTTCTACTTGCATTCAATTTCAAAAAGCATCTTCTGGAAACAGTTGATCATCCTAAAGATTTAAACCCAGTTCATAAGGCTAGACAAGGAGGGATGACACGCCGTCTCTCAGCTCTCCAAGGCCTCGGATTCTTAATCCTCATAGGAGTGAGATAATCTCCTCTCCAATAGGTTTCGGTCACTGTGCAATCTCAGTCCTTACCTAGAAAAGATTCTACCGCAAATGCTAAAGCTTAATACAAAGGTTTATCCTCAGGTTTTAAAGATTTGCATGAGGATGTTCTAATTTTTGTTTAAGCTTTGATTATTCTCTAAACTCAATGATATATACTTAATCTGGACAACCCCCTTAAAAATAAATGCAGAAATTTAACTTCAGAGCCTGGGTTAGCATTTATGTTAAGATTATGTTTGATCAGAGAAAACTAAGTTGTACCAAGGAAGATTTTACAATATTTCAAAAAGAAAAAACATGACAAAAATTGAGTCACTATCCAGAACACTAGCTTCTTGGTTTATTTAACGGAAAAGATCCTGAGCTATAGAGGTCAGCAACCTAATCATTTGGCTATGGAGATAGTGTATTGATTGATTGTTTCTTCTTAAATACCAACTTGAAGTTTATTCCCAGTAAGTGTAGCTATAATTATATAATGAAGAATGTTTTTCTGTTTACAATTCTAGAGATAATTAAATGCAGATTTCAAAAATTCCATAATGCTATCTTTTAAAAATAGATTTCCACAACAAGAACTAATCTGTGTACAGATACTTCATTTGATTCTGGGAACAACTTATGAAGTAGTTTGTTCTCTTAGTTTATGGACAAAGAAATAGGGAGAACTGCCTTCCAAGGTCACTTGGGTGGCAAGAGAATAGTGCTCCTGAATCTTTCTTGTTTAGCAGACTAATATTCCTCATACTGCCTCCATAGTTTCCAAGGATGTTCCTGGTTTTCTTTTATTTAACGTTTGCATCAACTTTTACAAGAATTTCTCATGATATGTTTAAAAATATACAACTGAGTATGTGATTAGCCATGATTTCATGGGCTACTACCTTGCACAGTGTCTTTCATTGTCTGCCAACATCAGATTCAGTTGAGAGAAGAGATCACTCAGCCAAGTCCCCAGAGGCCTCGTCCTTCCAAGACGTCTGTCCTGTGTTCCTTGGAGAGGCTGGAAACAGCACTAGGATGCCAAAGGGATTATGGATTCCTTCTTAGTATTTCAAAATACACAGGCTACCTGCTATTCCTTGTCTCTTATTTCTTCCAGGGGAAAAGCTCTGCTGCTTTGCTTACTGATGTGAATGATTTGAGAGTGGGGGAAAAATAGGGTTAATATATTCTAAAGAAATGTATAAGAGTGAAAAAGACTTTGGTGAGATTTCCCCCATTGATGTGTATTTATTTGTATTATATTATAAACATGATGAGAGGTTTGAAAAGCCAACTCCTTATTTCATGGATTTAGAAAAACATTTCTTTGTTAATTCATATTTTAATGTGGAATGTTTTTCCCTTGGACTGAATAACTCAGTTTGTCAATCACAGGATGATCTGGTCTAAGGGCCTGTGGTATGACTGGCAAGATGTCAGGTAATTGATCTTTATCCCCGTTCCCCAGCACAGAGCTCAGGGATGTGTCTGGATCTGGAGAGGCTGAGGGTGCCACATGGTAGCCAGACTGCACTGCACTGTGTATGTCTGAGATGAGTGAGGCACATATGGCCCAGGTGAGTTGATCTTTGGCATGTAACCACGTGGGGCTAACCCAAGACAGATGATTTGAAGTGGATTATGTTAAGTTTGTCAGTCACAGACACAAGAAGCAAGAGTGACATGGTGAACATGACCCCAGAAGACCTCAATTCTAATTTAGACTTTGCCAATAGTAAGCCATGGACAAAGCAATAGGGAGAACTACTTTCCAAGGTCATGTGTGTGGCAAGAGAACAGTGTACATAATTCAACCCCTCACTTTCTTACCCAGGCCTATACCTCCTCCTAACTCACCCCAAAAAGCCCTGTTTTCTTCCAGGTATCTACACTTGAAATCTTGGGTCACTCTGAACTCTCCTGTATAC